AAAAAAAAAAAAAAAAAAAAAAAAAAAAAAAAAAAAAAAAAAAAAATAAAATAAAATATAAAGATGATAAACCTCAAGGGGCGCCTGGGTGGCTCAGGCGGTTAAGCGTCGGACTTCCCCTTGGGTCATGATCTCACGGTTTGTGACTTGGAGCCCCGTGTCAGGCTCTGTGCTGACAGCTCAGAGCCTCGAGCCTGCTTTTGATTCTCTGTCTCCCTCTCTCTCTGCCCCTCCCCTGCTCATGCTCTCTCTCATTCTCAAAAGTGAATAAATGTTTAAAAAAAAAAAGATGACAGATTTCAAAACTCAGTGAACTCAAGGAATACGGCACTCATGAGCCCCTTTTCATTTGTACAAAAATGATGGTTATTTTCTGTCAACCTTATTTATGCATTTTGTATAAGCCACTTTGCAAGAACGACTTAAGACCACTCGGTGGTGGTGTTTTCCTTTCCGAGGGCCTAGCCTATAGGACTACAGACCAGTTTTGGAAGCAGGTCGGACCACTCAGTCTCTAGTGGGGAACTGCTAAAAAGGAAAGGAGGGCACCTGTGTGCTTTCAGAACTCTTTGCAACCTTGGAATGAGCGCACTGAATTCAGGAGCTGGGAGCAGCCCATTTATCCTGAGGTTCCTTTTGAGCAGTGGCTGCTCTTCCTTCCGTATCTCTTCTGGATCTCTATAAACATTCATTGCTTCCACATCAGCCAGGATAGACTAGGTTATATTGTAGTAATAAATGATGCCCAAGTTTGGTGGCTTATAACAATGGTCTGTTTCTTGCTCATTCTGCATATCTAGCCGGGGGGGAGGGCAGTCTGCTCATTCTAGTCACTCAGGAAACAGGCTCCATCTTTTTTTTTTTTTTAATTTTTTATTTATTTCCAAGAGAGAGAGACAGTGTGAGCAGGGGAAGGTCAGGGAGAGAGGGAGATACAGAATCTGAAGCAGGATCCAGGCTCTGAGCTTGCTGTCAGCACAGAGCCCTATGCGGGGCTCGAACCCACAAACTGTGAGATCATGACCTGAGCTGAAGTTGGATGCTTAACCGACTGAGCCACCCAGGCACTCCGGAAACAGGTTCCATCTTGATGTGACTCCATTTGACAGTTCTGCTCACGTTGTATTGACCAGTCCATAACCTTACCTAACTTCAAAGGGGCAGAAAAAAGATCTCTCCACATGCCTGGAAGAAGAACTGGGATACTTATGAGCAACCTCAATGCCAAATACAGCTTCTTAAGGGTCCTAGGGAAAGCTGGTGTCACCATACAGAGGATTTTCTGGG